TTTTTTTTTTCTTTCACCCACATTCGTCTATACAGCTTGACTTAGTAAAAAGGGTTGGGAAACCGCACCGCAATGTAGGAAAAAAACTGAACCGAACCGAGCCGAAATTTCTTTACATTAAAAAAACCGAACAGCACCGCACCGAATTGCACGGTTTGGCTCTATTTTCCGTTTCGACCGTTGATGTATGACCAAAGAGGAAATAGACCGACCTAGAATTTCCTTAAGGGAGGAAAACAACAACACCGACCTGATTTCAATTAGACACGACCGACGTCCGCAACTGGACGAAGTCATCCAGGACCGAAGTCTACTCTACAACCGCATTAAATGCCCGTCAATCAGCCGTCACGGCCCACGTGCTTCTCATCATTACCAAAGGGCCCATATGTCATAAAGGTGGCCCTATGCGGCTCTATCGCATTAAATGTCGTCGAATCTCCTCAAAAGACGAGTCGAAAATTGCTAGAAATAGCAGCATTTAATTAGATACGGAGATCTTTTTCGACGCATTTAATTTTGGACTAGTACAGAGCCCGTGCGATGCACGGGGTGTACAATTTTAAGGTCATTTATTCATTCTTATAATTATGTAAATGAAAAAAAAAAATGTACGGGATATATATAGTATGTGACCTGTAATAGGCCAAAATGTGAAGACGGGTGATGCACGAGATGCACAATTTTAAGGTCATTTATTAGTGCATACCCCGTGCGGTGCACGTGATACATATAATAAATCAATTATTTCTATAGGACTTGTACGCCTACAAAAAAAAAAACAATAGGCTTGGATCATCCATATTTCACATCTCTTAATAAGTGTCGTTTATTTAAGCCAAAAAATTAACATGTTAATTGATATATAATTCCACTAACACGTCATACTAATATTTATTTGATTTTAGAATACATATTTATTCATTGATATAGGAAAAAATAAAAATTTTATTAATTATCGTTCACCATATAATACTCACTTATTACTTTATTATAAAATTTACAGTCATATAATGTTATTATTATTATTTATAGAATTTATAGAAGTAGTCTTCTTTATGTAATGAAATTCAAAATAAAACTTTGAGTATAAATGTTTACAAAATACACACACATGTTTTTTAGAATTCAATTTTCTCATAATAATTCTTTTTTTAAAAAAATGATTTAGCAATTGCTAAAAAATAAATCCCTTACATAATCAAGAGATTTTTTCTAATTTTCATCCTAAGGCTTTATAGTTTATTTAACATATTATGCAATAGAAAAATATTTTACAATAAGTTCATTTTTGAAACATAACAAAAAAACAAGTGATAAAAACACTATCATAGTTGACAATAATATACAAATAAATAACATGTCGAAAGTTTAAAGAATAACTATAATTTTATTATCTAACCATCAATAAAATCATTTAATGATGTGATCATTATCTTTTAAATAATAAATAATATTAATTTTTTTAAAAATTATGAGTGTTATATAATTAAATAAATGTTAAAAAATATTACTCGACATATATAATTATAATGGATATCAGTAAAATCATTGCATAAATTATAAGGAAAAAATCTTGAAAATCATTTTTAGATAGAAAATGTAAATATGCAAGCATTTAATGCATATAGTAAAAAATTTCCAATAAAGTATGTGTGTTGACTTTTCTTGCTACTGTTTTTGGTAAATAGGTTGGCTTTTAATATATATATATA